GAGGGAGGGGGGGGAGGGGGGCGGGTTTCAGCTCTGAGTAAAGCAAGAGCTCGACCTTTGTCACTTCTTGCAATAAAAGGAGGTGCCGTGGCACCATTTTGCTGGAGCCTCGTGTGTGTGTGTGTATTTGTGCATGCGTGTGCACACGTCTGTGCGCATGGGTGTGCATGAGTGCGTGCATGTGTGTCTGCGTGTGCTAGGTGTGCAGTGCACACGAGGACACAGGAGGCGATGGGCCCGGGATGCTGAGTGTGTGCTGACCGGGGGCCCCGCTCTGGCTGCCCTGCGACCCGTGCACGGCCCAATCCAGCTCCTGGACTCGACACTGTCGTGCCTGGCACCCAGCACAGCCCCTCCCTCAAAGCCCCACTTTGGAGCCCCCCGCATCGGGGGCATCACCCCCACTGCACCAGGCTGCCCTCCCCACCCCCACCTCGTGCTGCCCGGGAGGTGACGGGCCCGGGGCTCAGGACACCCCTGGCAGCCGGGGCAGCGGGTTATGGCGTCGCAGCAGAGCTGAGCTGAGCCGAGCCAGGCACCAGACAGGCCCCGCTCTGCAGCTGCGAGGGGAGAGGAGCCAGGCAGGGGTCTCAGGGTCCCTCAGCCGCGGCGGCTGCAGGAAGCAGGTCCCAGGCAGCGCGGGCACAGCCGGGCACGGACGCAGTGCAGCAGCCCCCACGCTCCATCCCCTGGCTCCGACACAGGCACAAAGCCCAGTGCTGCGCCCCTCCACCCCTCTGGCCACGCACAGCCCCCACCTGCCCCCTGCCCCGCAGGGACGCACTAAAAACACTGATAACTTAGAGCAGGTTTATTGGACAAAGCCAGAGGATGCACTGCCCGGGGCGGGAGCAGATGGTCCCAGAGGCAGGGCACGGGCCCAGGGCTCAGGACAGGGTCTTGCGGGCCTCCTGGAACAGGTTCAGGAGGTGGGTCTTGACGCTGTCGGTGTAGGGCTTGACGCGCTCCCTGAAGTCCTGCACCAGGGGCGTGACCTTCTCGCGCAGGCTGCTGAGGTGCTGGACGGCCTGGTCCCGGACGTTGGAGGTGTAGGGGAAGCTCTCGTGCAGCTTCTGTATCTTCTGGGTCAGCTCCTCCTTGTAGGGCGCCAGGTTCTTGCGCAGCTCGTCCACGTGCCCACGCATCCGCCCCTGCGCCTCCTCCGCCAGCGGCGTCAGCTGCTGCTGCAGCAGCTCCAACTTCTGCCTCGACAGCTCCTTCATATTGGACACCACGGGCACCAGCTTCTCCCTGTACTGGTCCACCTCGGCCCCCCATTGCTGCGCGAACTGCTCCAGGGCGGTCTGGAACTTCTGCCGCACCTGCTCCAGGTCCTGCGCCACCTCGCTCTGCAAGCTCTCCGTCTCCTTGTCCCACGCATCCCGCATCTCCTCGTAGTAGGGGGCCAGATCCTCCTTCATCTGCACGATCGTTGAGCTCAGAGAGTCCAGGGTGTCGCCCACTTTCAGGCTGGGGGGCAAGATGGCACCAGGTTACGAGCTGCTGGGGATGCCCCCATGCGCCCACCTAAGCCACCACGGCCCAGGAGGCTGCTCCCAGCAGCGTGCGACTGAGCTCCCCAGGCCCCGCGGTCAGGCACTTACTCCAGTTGCTTGCCCACGGCCGAGGCATCGAACTGGGCCACAACTTCCTTGCCACTGGCTTTCATGGTCTCCATGTAGACGTTCAGCATGTCCTTGAAGCGGTCCAGGCGTGTCTGGGGGTCATCGTGCTGCCAGAAGTACCGAGCCTGGGTCCCTGCGGGGTGGGGGGAGAAGGCAAAGGGCTCAGGACGTGCCCGGCAGCTTGCCCCACAGCGCTCGAGGCGGGATGCCTGCCCGCACCAGCCTGGGCTTGCAGGGGGCTCCCGAAGTCCCTGAGGGCAGGACCCCACGGGCCGGCCCTGCCCGGTATCGCACCCAGGCTGCCCAGGACTCTGTGCTCCGGGGCCGCCCCGCGCCGGGTTGGGGCTCACCTGTGAGGAACACCAGGGCGAGGGTCACCACAATCGCTCTCATCCTCGGCTGTGTCTCGGGCTGCAAAAGACAAGAGGGTTTCCTGGGTGAGCACCTAGGACTCTGCTCCAGCCAGCCTGGAGCCCAGCCGGGGCCAAGGGGAGTCGGGAGCAGATGCCCAGATGGGGTGCCCCCTCCACCGATGGAGGTGCCCCAGCAGCTGTGATGCCCCCACCCACCCCAGGGTCCTGCTGAGCTGCTGGCAACCCAGGGGCTGCTCCTTCAGCTGCAGGCGATCCCGATTCTGCAGCTGATTTTATTCTCGGGGTGGGCTGGAGGCAGCTCCTTCGTCTCCCGCAGCAAGAGCGAGGAGAGCAGGCAGCTTCGGGTGCAAATGCCCTGGGGTCTCCCCTCGCTCGTGGGCAGAGGTGAGCTATGGGCTGAGCCTCTGGGGCAGAGATCGTGCCCTGGCACCGGTGAGTGCTGCGCTGAAGATCCAAGGGGACCGCGGCCGGAGTGGACGCAAGGGAAGGATGGGGTCGGGGTCTCACCAGTTGTTCCTGCTGCTGTTGCTGCTCCCGCGGCTCTGTGAGGCTCCTGCTTCCTCCGGCTGCTATTTATGGTGCAGGGGGCAGTGCTTGGCGAGATAAGCGGAGCCGCAGCCCAAGGAACCCTCCCAAGTCCCGACGATGTGGCACGGAGAGTTCAAGGATCGAGCTGCCTCCCCGCGGGGCCAGGCGGGCCAAGGAGCAGCGCCTGGCAGGAGAGCTGGAACAAACAGGAGCGGGGCAGGGGGCCTGGCCTGTCTGTGCTCGGGGTGACCCCGAATCTCCAGCCAGCCCTGGGCTTGAATGCGAGCCAGGGACTGGGTTTGCATCCTCGGGCATTCGACACCACGAGGCCATGCTCTGGGCCATGGCTCCCAGCCCTGCCCTGCCCGGTGCTCGGGTCTCCCTGCGGCGCCCCATGGCCGGCTGCATGCTCCTTCCCAACACATGCCGAGTCTCCCCCTAGGCTGGCAGCACCCGGCTGCCAGGCCTCGCTCCTTCCACAGCGCCGCTTAGGTCCTGGCCAGGGCCAGGTGCTGCCAGCCAGCCAGCGGAGGATGAGCAGGTGCCTGGAGCAGCCGCTCTCTGTCCACCTTCGCTCTGCCCGCGGCTCCCAGGCCAGGGAAAAAGCGGCCCGGGCCCTGCAGGGCAGGACACTGCCAAGGGAACGGCCCCCCTCCAACGCTGCTCATCTGGGAGCGAGCAGGACAGAGCCTGGGGCCACCTCTTAGGCATCTCCCCTGGGATCGTCTCCATCGTTGAGCTTTGCCCCAAGACGGGCGGTCACGGAGGAGACGCTGGGAAGGCCCCAGGCAACAGGCGCTGTCCAGCTTGGCGGTGCAAGGGAACAGGGAAGCTTGGCAGGCCAGGAGCGGGTGGAGGCCTGGGCTGGGGGGCTCAGGGCACTGCCACACTGACCACAGCAGCAGCAGCTCCCAGCCCAGGGCAGGGAGGTGAGGGAGAGAAACCAGGAGGAGCGGTGGGAGCAGGCACTCCGGTATCCCCTGGACCTGCTGCCCCTGGGGGCTGCAGAGGCCAGGGAGACGGTGCCCAGCAGTGCTGCCCACGCCCGCAGGGCTCCTTCCCCAGAAGCAGGTACCAGCTTTGGGCAGAAGGCAACAACGTGAACTGCCTCCACGCGCCAGCCCTCTGCGGGCACCGAGGCCAAGGCCCTGCGCCCCAGCCTATGAGACCTGGTCTCGCACGGGAGGTCTGTTGTTTGCAAAGAGGGAGCAGAAGGGACCTGTCAAGCCCCCGCTTCTTCCCCAGCCGGCGCCTTCCAGCGCTTCGCCTGGCTCGCAGCATCCTGGCGGCACTGAGCTCGCATGGTGCCGTGCTCAGCATGCCGTGCTCACTTTCTGCTGGGCATGGCAGAGAAGGGGGGCACTCGCCAGGTTTGGGGGGCTCAGATGAAGCGCAGACAGCAGCCTGGGACGTGCGGTGATTGCAAGCAGCCCATGGCAGCCCCATACAGGTCAATCTGCCCCACTTCAGGCTAGCAGGGCCAAACAGCCCTCTCCGCGGGCGCTGCGCAGCAATGCAGACAAGAGACCACGTAAGATCATAATCATGGTTTTATTTGTCATGATCCCACTGTCCAACTAAGTTACTAGTTGCAAGTGACCCACAAAAAAATGGACTAAAGGTTTACTGAAACGCCTGTTCTGTTCCGTTCGGTTTTAGTCCAACGTAAATGAAGAAGAAAAATACTTCTGACATTTCCAAAAAACAGAAATAATAGCAAAGTATATTAATATACATTCAACATATACTGCGCGTATTGATCACTACAATACAAAGCCATGATAAAAAAAGTGTGATACTGCGAAATGGCACGGTTCGGCGAGTCCCTGCTTCTCGGCTGGATGGTCACCGCGGGGCGCTCTCCGCTCTCCCAGAAATACAGTGTCATGTAAACAAAAGGAGAACAAACCAAAAGGTACAGAGCGATGGCAAAAAGGCTCGCAGCGTTTCTCGGTACCTCCCCGCTGGGCGCCGGCAGGCCCCTGCCCACCCCCTACGTGTCCCCAGCGTAGGAAGCGCAACTGTACAGCTGTGCACGGACGGAGACGGTGGCACCGGGCTGGGGCAGGGCGCTGCCCGGGAGGCCTGGTCCCCACGGGCGCCAGCCTCTCCTCTCCTGGGCGCGGGTCCACTCCTCACGGCTCCTGCGGGGCGGGATGGCGACCGCAGCCCGCTCCCCTTGGCCACGCCGGTCTCACACTTCCTTCTGTGCAAATTCAGGAGGGCTGCATTGATTTTTCCTTTCCTCAAACAAAAATCCCACCCCCCCCCAGCGTCACTCGCAGGAATTTTCAGCTGTAGCTTGTAAAAGGTCCGAAGGCAACAATGACACACAATACTCCCCGTGCCCCCCGCTGCCGGAGGGGGCTTTGGTTACTATCGGTCCAAGAAAGAAAGGGAACGACCAAGAAGAGCTCTCTGCACGCCCGAAACTGTCTACAGGAGAACACCACGTCCG